GTCCAGATTTAGGGGTTATGTATTTTTGTCTGCCAAGAGCATCTCCTTCTGCTGTAAAAGGCTTCGCCTAGTCCCATTTAAGCAATCCTATCCTATATAATCTGTCTATACTAATAAAAGAGTAATATGCTAATTAGACCGGGTTGACCAGCCATCTTCCAGATGTCCAACTTCCTTCCAGACAAAGCCATGGTGGTTGGGGCCAAGGCAGAGGCAGTTAGGGACAATAAGGCCAGCAGGGGAGAGCAGTTAAGGGCAAGATCAGGCTGGCAGGGGTTAGGGGTGATCAGGCCAGCAGGGGAGGGGAGGTGACCAGGCTGGCAGGGGAGGGCAGTTGGGGAGCAACCAGGCTTCAACTCTCTGCTGGGTTCAGTGTCTAACTTCAGCTGCTGGGAAGGATGTGATGAGGCCACCAGCAGTTTCCACTTAGCAGGCCCTGCACACCTGTCCTCGGGCCACACCTCCTGCTGCCCACCCTGCCTTCCCATCACAGAGCTTACAGACACCTCAACACAGTCCCTCCACACACTGGGTCGACACTGGGCATGTATAAGCCCACCACCAAGTCCAAAGCTTTATCTGGATCATCCCATTCCATTGACTACCCTGTTTCCAGAGAAGGAAACAAGATGAGGCAGAACTTGGGTCTGAGGCTCCCATCCGGTGTCCTCTTCTCTCCATCCGGCCCCCGGCACCTGGGAAGGCTGCACCCCAGTCTCGCCAGCTCATGTTCCCTCCTCATCACCTATTCTCTGTCCTGGAAAATAAGCTTAACACGAGGACAGTCCAAGCTGCTCCAGGCTGCAGGTCTCTATAAACCCAAGTTTCTTTCATGAAAATAAGTGGAGGCACTAAGAGGCCACCAGGTGTGACAACTCTCAGGTGACTGACTGCCCCGAGGCTGGGGCCACCGAAGCAGGTTGCAGAAGACACCACACCAAATACCGGTGGGGCAAGCGCCATGAGGAGACGAGCCCAGAGAGGACCAAGGCCCTGCAGGGAGGGGTCCCAGGAGTTGCTCCTTGCTCTTGCACCTCCATCCCAAGTCCAGCCTCCACTCAGGAGACAGCAGTGCCCCTTGGCACCAAGGAAGCCAGCGAAAGACCACAGCCTCTCACCCGGCTGAGAGGCGGCCCTTCCTCCCTCCATATTTTCGTGTTCCTATGCCGACACTTCATTTCCGGGGGAACCCGCAGGCAGGGCTGGGTGGAGTCAGCTCACCTGAGCTCTGAGAGCCCGTCATATGCATCTCTTCCCACCTGCATGTTCCATGGCATCAGATGGGGTGTCTGCAACCAGCCACCAGGAGTGCTGACACCAGGGAAAGTGGCAAATGCCAGGCGTCAGACTCTACCCCTGCCAGGTCGTAACTATTCATGGGTGCTGCTGCCCGAGGAGACCTCAGCACGGGGCCGCAGGAGAGACTGGCCATCAGAGGCAGAGGAGACAGAGCAAGCATTTCTGAAGAGGAAGAAAAAAGTCCATTCCTACCCTGAGAAGAATGCAAGAAAGCCCCTCCCCTCAACATGGCGTGCGGGGGGCAGAAAAGCGAAGTCTTTGCATGTCCAGGGTCTCTCAGCCAACAGCAGAGAATCACCAACCCCGGAGCCCCTGGTCCAAACGGGACTCATCCCGCTGAGCCAAGTGGCCGCCACGAAGCCAAACGATGTGCGATCAACAGCTACACAGAGATGATGGAGGCTGGTGGAGGCCGAGGGAGGGAGGCCGAGGGAGGGCAGGGCCCTCTTTTAGCCCAGAGGATGGGTGGGTTTGGAATGGGTGGTCCCTCTCTGCCCCCCCCAGCCCACTGCCCTCCTGGGCCCTGGACCAGACCTCCCACGGGCATGGCGTTCCTGCCTCCTGCCCCATGACGGGGCTCCGGCTGCTCAGACAGCAGTGGACAGCATTCCGTACGTGAGCTGGCCCTGCCAGGGGGTGGGTTCAGCGTGAGGTTACGTCCATCAGCTTTCAGGACAAATTCTCGGTTTATTAATTCTCCTCCGTTACGCAGGCAAAAGTAAATAAGCTTTTCTCCGGCAGCCTGGCACACAAGCCTTCCCTATTCAAACACGGCAAGAACTGACAGGCTGGGGAGTGCTGCGCTCCGGGCCCGCTCCCCAGGGGCCCCCTGGCCTCCTGCCCACGCCATCCCGCCCACCGAGACAGGCAGCCGTGCGTGGCAGGCCCAGAGCCCAGCGCCTGAGGCCCAGGCGTGGCCTGGTCCTTGGGTGGGAGCACCAGATCCTGGGCACCCCGGAGCACCAGAGAAAGTCCGAAGGGTCTGCTCAAAGCATGAGGATCGCACCTGCTCGCTCAGCCGTCTGTGAGCAAAGCGGTGCTGTGTACGTGTGTCTACTGTTTGCTTTCATTTAAAAAAAAACGTGTCTTTAAAAGGTTTGGAAGGACGAAAAGAAATAAGCAGTAACGAAACCGAACGGAGTCAGGACGTTAACTAACTAACCAAGAACTGCAAAGGAGGAGGCTGCCCGTGTTTGTAAGCACTCGCTGGGGAACCTTATCTAGCCCAAGACCGCCGCTTGCTTTCCTCCAGCTTCCTGCGGCCGGCACAGACATCTTGGGGGTCGTTTTTCTTTTTCCCTATTTTTGTCCCATTGGCCCGTTTCTGATTTGCAAGGGGAAAAGCCAAAAGCGCTGCAGGGCCTGGGGAAATGGGAGGCAAGAGCCAGATGCTGGTCTGCCTGGGCCGTGGCTGAGCTGGGTGCACAGCCCCCAGAGCTGGGCCAGGTGAGCTCCGAGCGGCAGAGGCCACACCGCGGGAGCAGGAGTGGAGGATTCAGCCAGCGGCAGTGTCAGTGCGCCCAGAGCTGGATGGGATATGCCTTTTTCAGTCTCACGCCGGCTCCTGCCTCCCGCCTCCCAGGCCCCTGCGCTGCTTCCTCCTGCAGTTTTTCCTGTGAGAGTCCCTTGCAGCTCGACCAAAGGTGACTGGCAACTCAACCCAATTTCCCAAGAACAGCGTCCCTGGCTTTCCCGGGTGTGACCTCAGCAGCCCCCTGAAACGCTCTCTGTCCGCCCCTCTCTGGGGGCTGTGCACACATGCAGGTTTGAAACATCCTCTCTCAGTTCCCAGCGTACGGCCAGCACTCAAGTCTAGTCTTTAGTCTAAGACCGTGGTCGGCAAACTGCGGCTCACGAGCCACATGCAGCTCTTTGGCCCCTTGAGCGTGGCTCTTCCACAAAATACCACTGTGGCCTGGGCGAGTCTATTTTGAAGCAGTAGCGTTAGAAGAAGTTTACGTTTAAAAAATGTGGCTCTCCAAAGAAATTTCAATCATTGTCCTGTTGACATTTGGCTCTGTTGACTAATGAGTTTGCCGACCACTGTTCTAAGACATCAGTCAACCATCTGGGTGCACAAGCCTCCCCCACACCTGCCGGGAGAGGAGGAAGGGGGTCCCCAGAGCTGACACTGATGTCCACATGGGCTCCCCATTCCCACGCCTACCCCAAGTGCCCGTGCACAAAAGGCCCGTGCGACCCCGGGACCAGACGCTGGGTACCAGCCTGGCCTGCTCTCCGCGTGGCACCCCGTCCAGTGGCTCTGAGCCCCACGGAACCTCCCTGGGCCGAGGACTGGTGACAACATCCTCACAGCGTTATCTCCAAATGCAGAAATAAAATACACGGGACTCCTGTGGATGGAAAAGGGCCCACATCCTACACCGGACACACTCAGGGCCCTGCATGGGGGGCCTTACAGACCCCGAGAGCGAAAGTAACCGCACAGGAAGGCCTGAACACACAAGTCCCAACTCAAAGCGGGTCCTGGCAGGTGGCTCCGTCCCAGGCCTGTAGCTTCCCTGACAAAGGTCACTCTTTACCGTAGCGGAGCCTGTCTGTCTTTCTGCCTCTGTGATCACACACCTTTGAAATGCCAGGGTAACCTCCTTCTGCGGACCCCTCGGGGCACCCCACATGCCAGACGCCACACCCTCTCCCCTCCCCCAAGGCCCTCTCCACGGGCTGTCCGGGAAAACTGCTAACTACCCTGCACCCGCCCACGAGGAGAAGCGTCTCTTCGTTTTACTTCGCATCCAGTCCCAGCCCTTCCCCACTCTGCTCTCTCCCATCCCTTTCAGCTACCCCCAGCGGCCTGCAGGTAACCCCCTCACACCTCCTCCCCTGATCGTAATGTATAAAATAAGCTGTAAAGCTGCCGTTCTCCGAAGCAATTTCTCACTCCGTCTTCCGTTTGGCTCAAGTCCACTCCCCTCGGACTTTTTCTTAGGCCGGACGTTCTTTTGTCGACAGCACAAAGGAAACAAATACCCCAAAATACACCTAACCAGACACATCCACACCCGAAGTCTACGAGGCAGTCCCTCACGGCATCGCTTCTTCATTAGCGGCTACAGGTGGGGAGGCGGCAGCAGGCCTGGCGGCTCCCGTCGTGTTGAAGCAACAGTGACCTAACGGCATGCTGGGATACCTGCACCCACCCTAACGAGGTGAGAAAACACCGGTGGCTTCTGCTGGCGCTCAGGTCCCCGGGCGGCTGGCCCTGCTGTGGTTTGTGGCCACCTTGGCAACCGAGGGAATGCTCAGGTTCAGCGAGAGGAGGGGGACAGAGGCGGCGTGGTTCTCTCCCTGTCCTCACCCCCATTTCTGAGTGTGGCCCCCGTTCTGTCCCGGTGCTCAGGAAGGCGCTGTCGCCTCCTTCCCGGACCTTCTGCAGCCCCGGAAGGGGTGACACGGCCCAGTTGGATGGTGTTGGGCTCAGGCCGCTCCCTAACTTGGTGGATGAACAAGAGGAGCCGCTGTGAGCGTCCTGGGCTTGGAGAGAGGCTGGCCCACAGGACTGATTAAACCCCTCTCTTTTATTCTTGGGGGGGAGGGAGGGGGGCTCCCAGAAAAATGCCTGGGGCTCCATCCTCCTCAGTCCAAGCAGCGCCCTGATGGGGGCTCGGAGGATTCTGTCCCCTCTAACCCCCACCCCCTTCCCACCCTCCCAAAGAGACGAGCGGAGGGGGCAAGCCTACCTTCCGGCTCCTCCACGCTGCTGGCTGCAGTGGTGGGCGGCGCCACGGGGATCTCTGCAAGATTCAAGACGAAGGAAGGGGAAGTGAGGTGAGGAGGTGTCATTTTTGACCTTAGAGCAGGATGGGCACAGCACAGACCCCTCCCAGCATTCCAGCGTCCCCCTCACCCCACCCCCACCACCATCACCTCCAGACAGGCCCCTCCCCCCCGCACCCAGGCCCCCCTGGGCGTACGTACTGATGCAGGGGGCGATGGGGGAGCGGCTCTGCTGGTAGCCCTTGGCACAGCGGTTGCAGGTGATGCCGGTCACGCCGTCCTTGCAGGGACACTGGCCGGTGGTTTGGTTGCAGGTTTTGCCAGCAGCACCCACGGGGTGGCAATCACAGGCTGTGGAGGACACACACCAGGAGGGTCAGAGGGCGGGAAGGGGCCCCGTGCACAGCCTCCCCCTGGGGTCCCTCCCCAGCGAAGAGCAGGAATGGGGGAGTGGGATCAGCCAAGCCCACACATTCCGGAAGCTCTGAGCGCCGGCCACCTGCCCACCGGGAAATGGGGAATGAGGATTAGGACACTCGGACTCGAAAGGATGTGCTGGCAGCAGGGAAGCGGAGGTGGGGAGCCCTTCCCAGGCCAGAGAGGAAGGCCCGCCATCAAGCATGTTTGGAGGAACGTAAACTCTGACCATGAGTGGAGGAGTCAGACCTGGGAGCTGCCCCTTCTCGCCGTGGGTTTGTGCATTCCTGTTCCTCCGCCCACCTGCCCGCCCCGGGCCCCCACACTCCCCTGCTGACCCTCTGGGCGAGGGGGACAGGGTCTGGAGCCTGATGGGGGAGTCACCAGGAGGTGCGGCCTGCAGGCTGCTGCCCCCACCTGCTCTGCCTATCCCCCAGGACCCCCAAGCCCATAACCTGCAGCAGCGGGAAGGGGCACAGTAGTTGTTTAATATTAATGTGTGAAGACTGGGAGGTGCGGGAACCCTCCCCCATGGGTCTCACAGAGGGAATGACCCCGTTCTCAGGCCACTGGCCAGCCCATGCCCGTCCTCCTGGCTGTCCATCCTGACGCCCACTCTTGTGCTCTAAGGGCCCTATTTCAGCGATGCAGTGGCCAGACAACATTGGGGGGACATCCCACTGCTGTGGACTGGATGTTTGTATCTCCCCAAAGTCTTACCTTCAAGCCCTAAACCCCAAATACAATGGTGTGGGGAGGTGGGGCCCCTGGGAGGTCATTAGGGTTAGGTGAGGTCATGAGGGTGGGGCCCCCCTGCTGGGGTTAGTGCCTTTAAAAGAGGAGGGAGGGAGAGGTCTCTGCAGGCACACAGCAAGGAGGCAGCCACTGCAAACCAGGAAGCGGCCCTCCCCAGACCCTGACTCTGCGGCCCCTGACCTTGGACTTGTCCGCCTCCAGCCGGTGAGAAATACAGAGCTGCTGTCTAAGTCTGTGGCGTTTTGTTACAGCAGCCAGAGCTGACTGAGACACCCACACCTGACGCCAGGGCAAAAGCTGCTGCACCAACCAGGCGGGACCTGAGTCCCCACGGTGTCCTGCCCCCACCCCGGGTGGGAGTGGGAAGGGAAGACAGGACGAAGGAGAAGTGGTCAGCCTCTCCCCTCCTCCCTCCGCCTCTCCATCCCCCAAGGGCAGTGGGGCGGGTCTCCAGGGCGGCCTCCCGCGGCCATTTCATCCGGTGCGACAGGCTGCGCTGGACTCCTGCCCCAAAGGGGAAAGGAGCCCAGAAGGTGAGCAGGAGAGAGCTCCTCAGGAGCTGACGGGGTTCCCAGGCCAGCTCTGCTCACGGCGGAGGCAGAGTCTGCGATGGAGACGGGCCTCTCCCCGCAGCCCTGGGCCAGGGGGACGGGGAATCGGAGGAGGAAGGAGGCAGGAGGAGAGCCGGGAGGGGAGGAATGTGAGGAGATGTTTGCTGAAGTTGTGTCTGGACACGTGTGGCTTCCTGAAGCTCCTGGAGGAGTGGGCTCCTGGTGGTGGGTGCCCCCTGGCAGGGGAGAGGCAGGGGCACAGGCCCGGGACAGAGGCCCTGGGTGCCACGCAGGCGGCTGGTGGACCGAGGGGTCTCTCAGTGCTGGCCCCACAGAGGAAGAAGATGCCTGCTCCCATCTCGCCTCTGTGAACCCGTCTGTTGGAAACCTGTCTTCTTAAATCTGCCCCGAATTCAAGTCCATGCCTCACTGTTGTTTTCTATCCGTCTTGTTTTTGTCTTGTTTGGTTCCACTCAGTAAGAACAGACTGCGCGGTGGGAGAGCACGCTGACCTTCCCCTCGGCCTCCACATCCCCGTGACGGGAAGGGCGTTCACGTGTGGGGCTGCGTGTCTCAGCTGCCACGTGAAAGCAGAGGCCACAGCACAGGACCCTGCTGTCCCGAGCTAGCTCCTGACCGGGCTTCCGTCCGATGTGGGCCCAGGCTCCCGCCAGCTGACGCCCTGGCCTGCTCGCACAAGCTGGCTGCCGAGGCCGAGAGGCCTCCTCTCCATGTGACCGAATCTTGCTGCCTGCGCTGGACTTCAGACCCTTGGACTTGGCTGGCAGAGGTCACCAGAGGCTGCTCAGGGACTGAAGGGTCCCAGCGAGGTCACCCGGGGGCACCACCATCAGTCCAGGGACCTCTACTGAGCTGGTCCAGAGCAGAAGTAGGGGCGCAGTGGGAGGACTGTGACCCTCCCCCAGGACCCCCCACAGCTGTGACTTCTCAGCTGCGCCCGCTGAGGTCTGTAGGAGCCAGTGGAGCCCAGGCCTCCCTCTGTGCTGCGGGGGCAGCTGTCTGCTGGGTGGAGCGGGCACCGCTCAAGGACCATCTTTTGATTGAAGGAGAGGGTGCTTCATCTCGGCTTCCCAATCTTTCTCCTGAGATCTGCAAAGACTCTGAGCAGCTGGCCCTGCAGCCTGGTCGAGTCTACTTTGAAGAAGTGGCATTAGAAGAAGCTTAAGTTTTAAAAATGTGGCTCTCCAAAGAAATTTCAATCGTTGTCCTGTTGACATTTGGCTCTGTTGACTAATGAGTCTGCCGCCCACTGGCCTAGGGTTTGGTGTCTGAGCCGGGACCACCCCCCACTGCTGCAGGCATGGCAGTGTCCCCTTCCCGGAGGGTTCGGGCGCTGGCTCGCTCATACTGCCGGGCACAGCACGCCTCCCGTCCACACCCCCCGGCCGCCCTGCCCGACACCGTTGTCCACCGAGTAGTGCCAGGATGTCCTCCCTGAGACTCGGTTTCTCTGCCAGGGAAGAGCAGCCCAGCAGGCCCCCGGAGCTCTGGTGGGATGAAGGGCAGGCAGACAGTCCTCACCCCAGGCTGCTGGTCTCTGGCAGCTCCTTCCCGTTTCCTCCAGTGTCTGTCCAGGTCGCCCCCTCTCACTGTGGCTCACACGGTGGTTTTTGGGGGCCACCCTGGGAGGGTATCTGGCTGCTTTTTCCTGACGACCTGGCTCTAAGGGCCTTCGGATGGCAGTGAGCTCAGGACACAGGAGAGGGAGCGGCCTGGTGCCCAGGCTCCCGGAGGAGCTCCAGGCAGGAGGGTGGGGGAGGGAATGGCCACAGACCTCAGCACAGATCCTCACTTCAGACGCCACCCAAGGCCGCTCAGGCCACCGGCCAGGGGTGAAGGGCAGCTTCGGGCCTGAACCCAGACATCCGGCCTCAGAGAGGCCCTCCCTGGCCACCTGTAGAGCAGCTACCCCCACTTGCACTCTTTATTTCCTCCCTGTAACTCACCACAACATATAATAACTTTATGCTCTTCTCCTTCATCGTCAGCCTCCCCCCAGAGAGCAAGCACGTGCTCCCTACATACGGGTGCAAAGACCAAACTCGGGGCAAATCTGCTGCCCTCCCGCTGGGGCATGGCTATCTGATGTACCTGTGAGTCTGGAGGAAAGAAGGGGGCGAGCAGGGAAGACCATCCTGGGGCCCAGCCTGACCCCAGAGCACCCCCTGCTCCCGCGTTCCCCGTGCTAACGAGGGGGCAAGGGGCGAGGAGCACTCTGTCCACAGATAATCCACCAGCCAGCTCAGCTGTGTGTGTCCACCCCCTCGCAGCTCTGCTTTTCTTGCTCCCAGCAGTCGCTAACGAGGCACAAAAGCATAAACGTTTCAAGTGGTGCGACCTCTCCTCTCCCCTGCCACTCTCGGATCAAGGTGCAGACAGCAGGAAGTGGAAGGGGAGGGCCGCCCCATAATCCCAAACCGGGTTATTTGACCCTCCTGATCCGGTTAACTACAGTGTCCCTGCACCTGATTTACAGCGAGGGACAGGCCCGGCTCCTGCAGATGGCTCCCCAGGGGGCGGGGGCAGGGAGTCCGCCCGCACAGGCCCGGGGCAGGCGGGCAGGGCGGGATCTCTCCAGCGGCACTTTCACAGCCGCCTTCAGATACGCGGCCTGTCCCCACCTCTCCGCACAGGGCCCCCCCCCGAGCAGCTGCCGCACACTCATCTCCGCCGTTGGACGTGTTTGCCGTTCTTGCTCCCTCGGTGTGCAAATCCGTTATCCAGGGCCTTGCCCGTTCCTGTGGGAATCTGCCTCCGAGTCCCCACGGGGGCTGAGCCCTCCAAAGTGAGAGGCACCCTACTCACAACTAAGGCAACAGAAAAGCCGAGGGAGCTAAAACAGGTTTGGTTCAGTGGATAGAGCATCGGCCTGTGGACTGAAGGGTCCAGGGTTCGATTCCGGTCGGGGGCATGTACCTTGGTTGTGGGCACATCCCCAGAAGGGGTTGTGCAAGAGGCAGCTGATTGATGATTCTCTCTCATCAATGTTTCTAACTCTCTATCCCTCTCCCTTCCTCTCTGTAAAAAATCAGTAATATATATATTGGAGGAGGAGGAGGAGGAGGAGGAGGAGGAGGAGGAGGAGGAGGAGTAGGAGAAGGAGAAGAGCCGAGGAAATCCATGTGCCTGCTTGTTCTACTTTCCGCTAATTGTACAGATAGCCCTGCTGGCTAGCAGGTGTGGGTGACGCACACCAGGAGCCTCCTCTATGTCATTTCATGTAGTCGCCACCATAATCCTGAGGGAGGAGGAACTATTGTTGACCGCATTTTCAGATGAGGAAACGGAGGCACCGAGGAGGACATACATTGCCCAGGGATGGACCTGGAGTCCTGGTCTCAATAACTCCCGGATGTGAAAAGCCACCACCCCCAGGCTGTTGGCTGGAGCCATCTGCTGCTCTCCTGCTGACAAAGGCTGTGTCCCAGGTGACATGCCCTCCATCAGCAGAGGAGCTCAAGGCCAGGGCACTGGGCTGAGAGCAGCCTTCAGAGGCCGCACTGGCACCCCAAGGGTGCCCTGGGGGATGAGACCAAGGGCTGGGCCTGAAGACCCCGTTTTAGCATGGGGTGCTGTGTGGCCGGGGTGCTGTGTGGCCGGGGTGCT